GTTAAACTCAAATACCTGTACTTTCTACTTCTTACATGTTGAACTCAAATACCTGTACTTTCTATTCTCACATGTTGAACTCAAATACCTGTACTTTCTACTTCTTACATGTTGAACTCAAATACCTGTACTTTCTACTTCTTACATGTTGAAACAAATACCTGTACTTTCTACTCTCACATGTTGAACACAAATACCTGTACTTTCTACTTCTTACATGTTGAACTCAAATACCTGTACTTTCTACTTCTACATGTTGAACTCAAATACCTGTACTTTCTACTTCTTACATGTTGAACTCAAATACCTGTACTTTCTACTTCTTACATGTTGAACTCAAATACCTGTACTTTCTACTTCTACATGTTGAACTCAAATACCTGTACTTTCTACTTCTACATGTTGAACACAATACCTGTACTTTCTACTTCTTACATGTTGAACCAAATACCTGTACTTTCTACTTCTTACATGTTGAACTCAAATACCTGTACTTTCTACTTCTTACATGTTGAACCAAATACCTGTACTTTCTACTTCTTACATGTTGAACCAAATACCTGTACTTTCTACTTCTACATGTTGAACTCAAATACCTGTACTTTCTACTTCTCACATGTTGAACACAAATACCTGTACTTTCTACTTCTTACATGTTGAACAAATACCTGTACTTTCTACTTCTCACATGTTGAACTCAAATACCTGTACTTTTACTTCTCACATGTTGAACTCAAATACCTGTACTTTCTACTTCTTACATGTTGAACTCAAATACCTGTACTTTCTACTTCTTACATGTTGAACTCAAATACCTGTACTTTCTACTTCTTACATGTTGAAACAAATACCTGTACTTTCTACTTCTTACATGTTGAACTCAAATACCTGTACTTTCTACTTCTACATGTTGAACTCAAATACCTGTACTTTCTACTTCTCACATGTTGAACTCAAATACCTGTACTTTCTACTTCTTACATGTTGAACTCAAATACCTGTACTTTCTACTTCTTACATGTTGAACTCAAATACCTGTACTTTCTACTTCTTCCATGTTGAACTCAAATACCTGTACTTTCTACTTCTACATGTTGAACTCAAATACCTGTACTTTCTACTTCTCACATGTTGAACTCAAATACTTGTACTTTCTACTTCTCTCATTTCCAAACAGCTGGTTCCTTTAGTCTGAATGTGTGTTTGATGCGTGATCATTATTCTTTAGAGTCATTGCCTATTGATTTGAACACGATCCGTGTATCCATCATTTCCTGGTCTTCTCTAAAGAAGAGGGACCAATGGAAACGTTGTCATGTTGCCGTTGTTCAGCATGGAAACATTCATTAGCTAACAAGGACATTATTGTTCTATTGATATAAAGGGAGGTCAGGTACTCTTTAAAGCAGCTGCTAGCTATGGGTACTTTTTACTGAAGTACACTTCAAAGCCTCTTTACTTTCACTTGAGGAAAGAAGTTTAGTCAGTACATCTACTTTCACCAGAGTATTTTTAAACACGAGTATCTGTACTTCTACTTGAGTACAGGATGTGTGTACTTTTGCCATCTCAGTTACATCTCAGACTTCTTCTCTTAATGTTAATGACCGTATTAATTCCTCATGAGATCCTCCAGGTCTCAGTAGGCGTTGTTTCGTCTCTGAATCTATAGCCCTGATGACGCTGGGACTAATCTTTAGTTTCTGAGTCAGGACGCTCTGAGTCCTGACACGGTGTACAAATACACATCAATACTCTGTATTCTGGATCATCAGTGAGAGCAGGATGACCTCTCGGTTACACAAAGTTACTGAGAGCAAAGTCAAAGGTCGATCCCTCTCAATGTGTCCAAAGAGAGAACACTGAACTCAGTCATGATAACAACGAACGATCCATGCTGAGATTAGATATTCAAATAGTTTGACATTGGGAGAGTTCATTTCTCTTTGATTGGATGGAGAGTTTGGCTCTTATGAATATTCCTTTCTGAAATTAAGCAGAATTCAGCATTATCTGTCTCTTCCTAACAAGCTAGCACGACATCGACGGGCCAATGGCTCTGAGTGTTTATCACCAGGTCGGATGACACGGACGAGGAATCTGACTTGGTGTTGTTGTGCGTACAAATAAAACACAAATGAAAAACACAGATAGAAACTATTTGAAGAAACTGTAGTAACATTTAAACATATATTACAAAATATAGTAAAATATAGCAGTATTTACATAGAAATGGAATAAAATATGTGCAGGAATGAAAAACAAAATATTCAAAGTCAAGTCAACTTTATTGTCAATCTTCCAGTTTGTGTGTACGGAGAGATCGAAATACCGTTTCCCACAATCCAGAGGAATACAAAATAAAAATGAATATAACAATGTGTATAAAAGATGTATACAGGGCTGGTTTTTGGTATAGGCGGTCGCCTAGGGCAGGGGTTCCCAAACTTTGCCATGCCAAGGACCCCCATATAGCATTATCCTCTGGCAGGGACCCCCCTGTGCAATTTTTCTTTTAAATGATGTGTACAAGTGCCTCCCGATGGAACATGCAGTGCGTTGCCACTACATTTGGGGCCTTCTGCCTGATCGAAGCTGTCACTCCGCTTTCTTTACCTTCCAGTGCTTTGCAAAATAATATTTCCTCAACAAAGTTGTCTTCTGAAATAAATCTGATGTATGCAAGCAATTCTGCGACATTTGCTACATCCGTGCTCTCATCCAGCTGCAGAG